CTCTCTCTCTCTCCTTTTTGTCTCTCTGTCCCTTTTTCCTTTTTTTCTTTCATCTCTCTCTTTTTCTTTCTTTCTTTCTTTCTTTCTTTCTTTCTTCCTCTCTTTCTCTTTCTCTTTCTCTCTGTGTGTCAGTCTGTGTGTCTGTCTGTCTGTGTCAGTGGTGGGTTTCAAAAATTTTTGGAACCTCTTCTGTAGGTGTGGCCTGCTTTCCGGGTCCACTGGTGGAACCTCTTCTAACCGGTTCGGTAGATTTGACGAACCGGTTCTACCGAATAGGTGCGAACTGGCAGGAACCCACCTCTGCTGCAATAGCAGTCACATACTTCCTCCTAGGAGAAAGTTTTTTAATATTATTCCTGAAACTATTCTATTTTTTCTTCTTCTTTTCCTGTTAGCATCCCTCAGTTGTTCTTCAGACAGGATGACAATTACTCTCAGCGACTTTTACTTGGCTTCTCTCAACTATAATGCAAGTTCCCTATATCTGAATGACCAAACTTGCAAGCCTGTTTCTTACAATCCAGTGGTTTTTTCTTTTCCAATCAACAGCTGTGGAACAATTAAAAAGGTAATATTCATCTTGCTGTGAATTCGTTTATTTTTTTCCAAAGCTGTAACTACCTTTAGTAGAGTCTCCAATCAGGGCTGAAAAAATCCAGATGAGGACTAGTTGGCAGCAGCGAGTTTTCTGTATTATACTTGTTTCTTTCAACTTGTGGTTATCAGATTTTTGCAGCGAGTACTTAAGATCTTTTCTAACTTGGTCATCTCCACTATACACTATCCCTAGATTTAAACATATCAATGGCATGCAATCTTAAATGAGTCCAATATAGTTGTATAGCTCTGTACTCTGCTTTTACACCACTCAGATATGAAAAAGAACACTATCAGAGCTGTAAGTAATGGGGGCGGGGAATCCAGGGGTGGGTTGCTAATCCCGTTCCAACCGGTTCGGTTGGAACGGGGCCGGCGGCGTCCTCGTGCACGCACGCAGTTCACGCATGCATCTTCACGCCTGCGCGATGCTCCAGCTGCTCACGGAGATTCGCGCAGGCGCTGTATGTGCCATCCAGCTGCTCGTGGAGAATCACGGAGGCACTGTATGTGCCATGCGCCTGCGTGGAAGCGCAGAAAACTTCAAAGACCGGTAAGGAGCGCGGGCGGGCCCTTCGCCGTTCCCGGAAGTTACTTACTTCCGGGTTCGCCGACCAACCGGTTCGTGGGGACCGCCACGAACCGATTGAAACCCACGCCTGGGGGAATCCCATTAGAGTACAGAAATAGTTGGGAAGCACAAGGATACAATCAAACAGGATGCAAAGCGCGCTGAGCATTTACCCCAGGTCCTACTCAAATTAATGGAACTTACAAAGTGGTTACAATCCTGAATATAGAGATCAACGATGCAAATAGACTGCATGAAGCTCATTAGTTTCCTTGGTAGTTTTTATTTACTGGCAACAGTCTGCGTCATTAAACATCATGTGCTTTTTACAGAATTCAAATGCTGATTTTCAAAATACCTTCTTGGTTTTCAAATGGTGAAAGTAGTAGTATCAAAGAAACTGATATTGGAGGAGGCTTCTACTTATCAATGTTCTTCAATGTATTATCATATATGATTTTGTTGCTACTGGTTGTTACATTTAAACAAAATACTTAAGTATAATTTTATAATTAGAGATTATAAAATTTCAGATTCGTGATGTATCTGTAGGTTAAAAAACATTTTTTTTCTGTCTTCCAAAACGTTGTACCGTTTTTTAAAAAAAATACCTTATTTTTTTTCTTTCCTTGGCAGACTGAAGGTCAAAGCATCAACTACA